GCGGAGGTGACGGGTGTGGGGGTGTGGGTTGCAGGAGCGGGGGTGTGCACTTGGAGCAGGGGTGGCGGGGTTGGGGCAGGGGCAGGGGTGTTTTGGCGGGGGCAGGGGTCGGGTAGCTCCGCGGCGGGGTTCCGGGGGTGAAACCCCTACCCCAGCTTGGGCCCCGGGGATCCCCGCGTGACAACCCTGACCACAACCAATCACCTCACACCTTTTTCCTCCTCCGTCGTCTTCACCCATCCGCCATAGCCAACCACCTCACACCTTCTTCCTCCTCCATCTCCTTCACCCATATACCATAGCCAACCACCCCACACCTTCCTCCTCCACCATCTTCTTCACCCATCCACCATAGCCAATCACCTCACGCCTTCTTCCCCCTCCTTCTTCTTCACCCATCCACCATAGCCAACCACCGCACACCTTCTCCCTCCTCCACCCTCTTCACCTATCCACCATAGCCAACCACCTCGCACCTTCTTCCGGGTTGGTCGAAAATGCCAATCGCATGATTAAGACTGCCCTTCGTAGAAATTTAGCGGCGCGTGACACGTGTCCTTGGCCCGAGATCGTATACCAAATCGTCGGAATTCACCGGGCCACCCCTCATGAATCCACGGGGTTCACCCCCTTCCAGCTTCGAACCAATAGCCTCTCATGTATCGATTACTGGGGCAACTCGGAAATTGCCGAAGCCGGGGGTAGAGACACACGTGCCGCCCTTAAGGCCAAGGCCAAAAGGTATGCCGATTTAATGGAAAGGGCCATTCCTAAGCTAGCCCGAAAAAGACAGAAAATGAATGATCTAGCCCACGAAAGACAAGTCCGTAGCTACGAGGCCCGAAATGGGAACGTCGGTCCCCAACATCAATATAAATTAGGGGACTTGGTACAGGTACGTAAATGTGCACGCGACCGGAAACTCGCTCCCAAGTTCTCTGGTTGTTTCCGCGTTGTCGAGCTCGGACCCAACGGTGCTAACACGGTGAGCATCGCGCCCAAGGCCAGCGCCAGCCATAGCTCTGTCCCCATCGTCCGCCATACCTCTTATATCCGTCCTCTCCCTCCCTCTGATCTCCCTCCATCTCCCTCATCTGCCGAAGAAGAGGGCTACGACGATCTAGTTCCCGCCTCGCTCTCTCCCTCCTGCTCCCCTCTTTCATCTTCTTCCCCGTCCTTGCCATGAGTTTCATCACGGAGCAAGCTCTTGGCGATCATCTGCTGCAACCACGTGGCCACATCTCTGAGATCCGACAAGTTCGTCATCCGCGGCTCAGTCCTGATCTTCGAAGAGTAGCGCAGTTCTTCTGCACCCAGGGAGTGTGCCGCTGCTGCGTTCCGATTCACCGGGAGTCAGCAGGCAGTAGTGTTGGCAGAGGTGGTGGCTCTTCATCGACGAGCGACTCTAGGGACGAGCCACGTCACCACGGTCACTGCCTTCACCGACGACATCAGCGCGGTCAGCCCACTACGACATACCGCGATCTTGACCTCTCTACGAGAGTGGACGCATCAGTTGTCAGCTGATTGGCATCACGGTCTTGCGCGTCCAGAGAACAATCTGGTCCCGACATCCGAGACTGATTTCGACGGAATTCGCACGTCTCCACGCCAGCCGAAAGTCGTGCTCCCCACCCTCATCCCCTTCCAACGCCCCCAATAAACCGCGCCGCTCCTCTCGCTCCTCTCTCCACCTTTGGTCTCCCCTCTCTTTTTCCCACCTTTTGGCAATCCGATCTCCATCCTCGCCTTTCTTTCCTGTTCGAGCCTCTTGTCGTCCCGCTTCTTGATCCCGAGCATTGGCAGGTGTGGCGAGAGACCTTTGTCGATTTGTCTGTGTGCTTGGCCCGAGTGCAGGTGACGTGGATGCAAACCAGTGAGCATCCTGCGTGTATCGAGTACCTGGAGCTGTTGATCCTGCAGGCTTGGAGAATGGACGTGGAAGGTGATCTTCTCGGTTTTCTCTTCAGATCGGTGCGGCCGGACCATCGCCAACTAATTACTCAAGAACTCGTCGTCCCGCTTGTGCAACTAGCTGATGATCTCTCCCTCGACATCATTTTCCAAAGCGACGATAGTCCCGCTCCGCACGTCATCACGCGGACATTGGCGCCGTATCTTCAGTGGACTGCGTGCTTGGAAGAACCTGGGAGTGACAACACTTTGCCATCGCGGCAGGAGTACTTGAAGCCGTACGGAATCATCGATCACGCCTTCTATCCGAAGGAAGAGCCTGAAGAGGCGCTCGAAGGAGAAGAGGAAGCCACTGAAGAAGAGAGCGACGCCGACGAGAAAACGTCGGAGGAGGGAAGTTATAGTGAGTACAGCGAAGGGAAGCAGAGTGAAGAAGAGGAGGAGGTAAAAGAAGAAGAAGAAGGAGAAGAGGAGGAAGCCGGATCGGAGTGGGAGGACTTGCCGGAAGAAGAGGCGCGCACAGGCACGGAGGCGGAAAATCCCGAAGCGGCACGTAGAAGGGAAGAGATCGCTGCTGGGAAAAACCAACTGGAGATCGCCAACGGGGCGAGCTTGTGTATCAACGACGACCCAACCAGGGATCCAGAGCCCCCCGAGCCCGAAGATGGCGGATCAGCAATCGTGGCTCCGAGTGCATCGCGACGGAGACGGAGCCGATCACCCTCCCCCTCCACCCCAACCCGTCCCCCAGTTCGTCCACGTACCGATGCGGGGAATCAGCCTTCGTCCCCGGTCATTATTCCATCGTCCCCTTGACTACCTCACCCTCTGCCAGATCTCTACCCCCGTCACCTTCCCTCGCAACCCCTTTCCTCCCAATACCTTGGGTCACTTTTACTCCACCCGTCTTGCCGTCACCGTCCATCCCCACCCTTCCCTCCAATCCGCAAACCCCACGTTCTGTTTACACGTCCTCTTGTTCAGTGCCACGTGGGAACAGAGTAACACAGTAGAACTCTACTGCGTAATTACAGGGACCATCCCCATGTGTCGCCATCACGATCAGTTTCGCGCGGCACTTTTTCGCACTTTCTCCACCCTTTACCCTGACTACCTCGCCTCCCTCCCCCACAGCAGCGATCGGTTTCCCCGCTTTCACCGGATCATCCGCTACGAGGAGCTCCCGATCACGGAGGAAGGGATGAACCGATACTTACCCCCACTTCCTCCCAACCCTCCCCGTCGACACCCCCCCATGTATAATGTCTACTTTCCCATTCCCACACGGCGTTGAGACCCGCCACGTGTCCTCCGAGCAGTACGAGTCAGCAGTGTCGCGAAGATCACGCCCTTGACGATGACGTCAACTTATGCTCTGACTCGATGGACTGCGCTGGACTGGGGGTCCAGAGCACACGGAGATCTGATGGACCATGATGGTGCCACCTAGACGATCTCTGAAGTTCGAAGGACAGGGGGTTGCATATGACATGGCTGCAGGGAACGGGATTCGAAACAACATCAGCCGGCATGCTTCACGGAGATCTTGCCACGGATGTTGTCGCCAACTCATCATGCCGATCCGAGCTCCTACTTCTTCCTGCTTCTTCGTCTCTTCTCTTCCCCCCCCCCTCGTTCCTTGTACTTCTTTCTGCTTCTTCGTCTCCTCCTATTCCCTTTGTTCGAACTTTTATGCAATCAGGAGATCGCATAATTTTGGAACCCCCTGCGCGTCACATATGTAACGAACCACTTCCCGAGCCCGTGCTATCTTTCGTACCCCTTGACTCAATACCCCCTCTCTGTATCATACCAACCCCACAAAACCCTCGTCGCTTTTCTTGATTTCAGGCGCCTTGTTTGGGCCCCCATTTTTTCGGAAGTTCTATTGATTCTTGGAATTCTGCTTTTCGTAATTCGGGAAATGTACGGGAAATTACGCGCGCCTTAGCGAGCGCACTGAGAATCGGGCTCGGCAGTTAGGAATTACGGAATAAGCGGAGCCCGACGTATCTTTTTCCTTGCATGAATGTTCTCGGTCACGACGGAGAAAACTCTAGGAATTTTGTGAGAATACGGATAGGCATAGGACTTTAAGTTTCATTTCCCGTGTCGACTTTCGTGTGCGGATATGGTGATTTCAATTTTTGAATTGGTGTAGGATATAGGCAAGCTGTAACTGTTTTGGTGCCTTTTTCTCTTGTTGTCGGCACCGCGCATGCGAGCTTCCTCCTCCTTATTTCCTGCGACATTCTTTCCACGCGCTCTTCTCTCTCCCTTCCTCCTCCTGTTCTTCTCTTATCGCAACTGTTTTCCTCTTTCTCTCTCTGATTTTTGCGCGTCTGTTTCCCCTTCTTGATCATCTGAATCTTGGACCCGTTTTTGCGCTGCTTTTCGCGCCTCGTCTCTTCTTGCTCTTCAACCTTGGCTCACAAAGCCCGGTTGATCCTTCGATTACCCCGACTCCCCCATCAGACGCGTTGAGCAAGAGGATCTTTCTATTACGCGACGAATCTGATTGGCCGAGTATCACGTTCCGAAGGATCAACATGGCTTCCCTTAAGCACCTTTCGCTGAACCTTCTCCCCTTACACCTCGATCTCCGCTCTGTCTCCTCCCCCATCTATCTCCTTTCTCACAACTATAAATTTCGCAAACGCGCCCGCAAATCTCTCTTACGTTCTCAACTCCCAAGCCAACTTCCGGGAAGCAGCGGCTAGGTGAGGTGTTAGGTGCGAGTCGGAAAGTCCTGTCGGGCTGACAGTAGGCTAACCGGTTGCGCGCTTGATTGCCATGACGGACTGTGGGATCCGGGCGAGCCGAGCCGAGTCTGGTCTGCGTCGGCGGGGTGACGATCGTAGTGGCGGAAATTAGCACGCGACGACCGGGATCGTCGGTACGGGTAGTATGAGGATCAGTAGTTGGAGTTGATTGGATGATTGACCCGGGGCCATATTGGAATCTCACGGCGAATGCGCCTTCATTGTTGCGGATCATTTTTGGTGTGAGTTCACGACTGCAAAGTCGAATGTTCCCTTGTTGAATACCGGTGTCTCCTGTCTCAACTGTTCTTGCCTATCTCCCCCACCTCCCTCTCTTTCTCTCTGACTTGAATGACGATGTGTTATGAGTTTATATTTCTCTCATGAATCGAAGTTAACCCGATTTCTCGCGAAAAAGAACTTCTTCCGGAACTCTTTCATTAGTTTCCTGGGTAATCCCCGGATACAAGGAACCCAATCACCTTGTCTTGTGAGCGGTGGATGCGTGTGTACAATCCCCCGATTCATCTTTAACGTGTGCATTATTGTCATTTTCGCACCTTCCACAGTGGATGTATGTATAGAGATGCTTGTATTTTTGCGTTGATTAGACCCAGAGCTCAACGGGATTTTGTTCAAGAATGCAAGAGTATTTAGATCTGTCGTTTTGAACGCACTGCGCATGCCATCTGCCTTATGTTGCACGACATCAACAGACAGTCTGTGGGGCAGCCTCGAAAAAGCTAGGCGCCTCGTGTTTTGTTGATCTGGTCTGCCGAAACTGAGTCACGGGTTGATCCCTCGGAACTTCAATCCGATCAATGTATGCTTGTGCGGGTTCCGTAGGATGCTTCTCTCGTGTCAAAGGGAAGAAAGATACTAATTAATTTTTTTCGGTCGTGCTTTTTGATGACGTCTCGAGGGTTTGTGCAAACTCTGTTGGATTGATTGATATGTGGACTAACGGCCGCTCCTCGATCGGGCGCACGCCTTCCGTATCTCCCTCGCCAACGCGCCCCTTTCCTTACAACGAGGAAAGGACACGTGTATGCGAGTGGGACGTACGGGAAGCTGTCGCACGAATCGGCGGACAGTATTACTTCCCTCCCGAAAATCGTTGTTCTGGATTTGTGGATGCGGGCTTTGTCATTATCGACACGCACTTTCCACCCTACTCAGTACTGTTGCCATTTAACGATCTGATCGTCATTCCGTGGACGGCAGTGGTGCCCCATTGGCCTCGAACCCTGTGCACTGAGTGCCAGCGTTTCGATCGCTACGAATCGAAGGGCTTCCACTACCGGATACGGAGTGAAGACGAGCACAAGGAAAGAGGCACGCGGCTGAGACCATCCACGTCGGACACAAACTGACCCACGAGCGACGTCGGGACTTAATACGGAAACGGGATACGCGGAGTGTGCCGAAGCCCTTCCGCTCTAAACGAAGATCCGTAGCGTGGTGGGAAGCTCGACAATACTTTTTGGATTGAATTTGGATTTTTCTCTTTTCGCGCCGTGCCCGCGCGCGCATTCCGCGACGCGCGAAAGCAACCGACTTACTTCATCGGGCCAACACGGGGGATTTCAGTTCTGTCTGTGTCCCCACACTCAATTTTCCAAAAATCCTTGGCACACCCCATCTTGCTGTTTTTCTGGGCCCCCTTACCGCACTCTTAGCACTCCGAACGGAAGACAGCACAAGGCGTGAGGTTGCGCGTCACATTCCCGCATTTGACGGAGTCATGGCGACGTGCGCATGGCACCGTTGTCTTGGACTCCTGGTGCACCCTATTGGCTGAAACCCTGAAGCATGACTTTTTTTCTTTTCTTTTTTTTTTCCTTTTAGGACTGGTCCTAAACGATGGTCTTTTAGGAATGCGTGTAACCACGACGCACGAAATCCTAAAAAACCTTTAGGACTGTCCAAAAAATTTTAGGATTCTTTTAGGAGTGTCTAACGAGACCCCAAAACCCGTGCGGTCCCACGGGCAGCTACGGGTCCTGCAGTTTCAAATAAGATGCCACAACCCCCTAAACTGCCATGCCTTGTTTTTCCAGCCTTCCAAAGACGACGAAAAATGTTCTCAGGGGCATAAAACGCACCCCTGACGGGCTGCGAACTGATCCCCAACTTCCCCCCCCTCAACACAAAAAAAAAAAAAAAAAAAAGAAGGAACACACGGGGCCTCGGTCCACCACACCACTCTCGAAATGTGGAAAACGAGAGGACATGGAAAGATACACCACAAAAAAAAAAAAAAAAAAAAAAAAAGGGAACACACGGGGCCTCGGTCCACCACACCACTCTCGAAATGTGGAAAACGAGAGTGAATATTCCCCTAGGACATGGAAAGATACACCACCATGATGTTTGTCTTATGTGCATTTCTAGAGTAGTGGTGCGAGGCCCTACGCTTTCCACCGCTCTTCTTCCTCGCGAGCGTATAGCACGGACTGACTTTTATTTCATTTATTTTGTTCGGCTTTGCGCAAGTTCACCTGTGCTGGTGCGCTGGTCAAGTGGAAACAAGTAAGCAACAACAACAAGACAATGCTGTGCTCTTTGCTCCTCTGTGCTCTGACTGTCCGAATTGTTATGAACGCTGAGCGGGGCACTCGTACGAATGATAAAATGGGTTATCTAGACCCGGACTCACTTAACCGGACTCACTTGGTGCGCTCTGCGGCAATGCCTACCAGCTTGTGACTTGTAAATATCAGCTCGAGCGCACGCGGCTCCCGCTTCTCTCCGCGGTAGCTCCCGCTTCTCTCCGCGGTAATGCCTACCAGCTGTGACGAGTCCATGCCTGACTCTTCTTCCCACGCAACGCCTGACGGGTAGCATGCCTCGTCCAATTGCAACTACCAAAACGCACGGGTGAGCTTGCGTGCGTCCGTCCGTGCATACTTGCGTGATCGTGTGTGTGTGTGTGTGCGTGCGTGCGAGCTGTCGCGGTAGGATCTGGTATTCATCGGGGTGCTTTCGGCAGGGAGATAGAGTGTGTGTGTGTGTGTGTGTGTGTGTGTGTGTGTGTGAGTTGTCGCGGTAGGATCTGGTATTCATTGGGGTGCTTTCGGCAGGGAGATAGGTCGATGTTTGGCACAGAGAGAAGAGTAGTGACCGATGGTGCTCACTTCTGAGGTACCCTTCTTCCCCTGAAAAGAGCGTAGGGTCATTATATCTGTATTTGGGGCAATTTATTCCAGATACAGCGATAATGACCGGGAGTCGTTCGTTTGTAGTTGCGGCGAAGCAGGAAGTGCATGAGCCCGGCACTCATGTGGAGAAACTCGCGCTTGAACTCCTTTGGTGTCTTCGTACTCTTGGCGTTTCCTGTTCCTATTTTTTTGCCCACTTTCGCTTCGTCAGGTAATGTGCCAAGGTGCTGATCAGACATCTCTGATTTGGACAGGAATGTACACAAGGATGATGGCGAGTGCTGATCATGCACCTTTGATCAGACACTTCGGGCGCGCGCCACACAGATAGATACACAAACGAGGGGGCGTGTATGTGTGCGGGCGCGCGCGGAGAGAGACAGAGAGACAGAGAGAGAGACAGAGAGGGAGACAGAGAGAGAGACAGAGAGAGAGACAGAGAGAGAGAACGAGAGAGGTACTCGAGAAGATACTTGCGTCCACGCGCGCCACACGAACCTACACGCACACACACACNCGTCCAGAACATTCCGGTTGTCGGATGCCAACCGCAGCCGCAAGCCACAGGACTCGACATCGGAGCCCACAATTTGAAGCTGCAGTGGAGTATAAAGTCCAGAGCAGAGTAGCATAGCCGTTGTAAAAATGATCAGCGCCAATAGTGTAGCTTGAGAGAGACAGACACACACACACACACACACACACACACACACACACACACACACACACACACACACACACACACACACACACACACAAACACACACACACACACACACAGAGAGAGAGAGAGAGAGAGAGAGAGAGAGAGAGAGACTTTGGACAGGAATGTACGCAAGGAGGATGCACATGTGCTGGTCAGACACCTTTGATCGGTCACTTTGGACGCGCGCCACACACTAACATAAGGGGGGAGGCGTGTACGTGTGTGCGGGCGCGCATGCGGGGCAAGCGAGAGATACACACACACACACACACGCACAGACACAGAGAGAGAGAGAGGGAGAGCGAGCGAGCGAGAGAGAGAGAGAGAGAGAGAGAGAGAGAGAGAGAGAGAGAGAGAGAGCAGAATCGTGGGAATGTGTGATGTTGTCTAGGCCGCGGATAGTAGTCTCAAAGGTGCGCAGAGTGACGATGGATGTTGTCTCTGATTGTCTTTTCTGTGCTTTTGTAGTTATCAAGGGCTACCGATGAGATGGGATGAATACAGCGCATCAGCGCCAGGTTGATTGATTTACGACTTACGCACCAATTTGACGTATTGATTAGTTGATCGGCGTATCCCTGGCTTGATTGACTCATCGGTTGTTGCCTGATGGATTGATTGTTGGACAGCATGATTGCGAAATTAGTTTGCTCCGTTGACGAACATCTCCTAGTTGAATGCCCCCTTTTGAAATGGAAATCATGAAGTTCGGGTTTGCTTGCTTTGAATTCTGTTCTCACTAGTGACCAGTTTGACCGTTCCATGATTTTGCTTATGTTGTGATTGCAGGGTTGATTGATTGACCAGTTGATGAGAGTGGCAGATAAGTCCGTGTCTGTGTTTGAGTGAGTTGAGACCAATTGGTGGGAGCGGCGGAGAAGAACGTTTCTGTATGTGTGGGGGGGGAGGGGGCGAGGGGCGATTGTGCTCAGCGACCGGAAGAGGGTTAGCGGCGGCCGATAGAGGGGAGGTGTTTGTCCTCAGCGACTGAAGGGGGCTGGGGGAGTTGCAACGACCGAAAGGGGGGAGGGGGGGTCAGAGACCGAAAGCGGGGGTGGGGACAGCAGCGACCGAAAGGGAAGGACTCAGCGATCGAAAAGGCGGGAGCGCGGTTGTGCTCAGCGACGGAAAGAAGGTAGAGGCGGGTGGGCGCGGTTGTGCTCAGCGGCGGAGAGAGTTGGGGGGGTGGTCCTGCTTAGCGGCGGAAAGACCAGAGGAGAGGTGTGTTCAGCGACGGAAAGAAGGGGGCGCGGTTGTGCAGAGGAGTGGAAGGA